CCAGTAAAAGCAATTTGATCTATATTTTTAATGTTTATACAAGCATTTTTCCTTATAATCGGTTCTGGTAGTCTAATATAAGATGAACCGTTTCCCAATTGATATTACTGATATTAACAAACTAAGGAAATAATTTTATTTAACGCAAATCCCGAATTCTTTTCAGCAAATTCCGATAATTCGTTTAAAAGTTTATCTTTCACATATATCTTAAACCACTCGTCTATTTGAGTTGATGTATCAATAATATGATTTTTAGTATTAATATATTTAATTCCCAAAATTTCATTATCCCCCGATTTCCTAATAAACTCCCCGCAAAATGTTGTATTTACTTTGAGCGCACAATGGGTGTTCAAAATATTCCTAATTTTCCTTTTAAAAACAACTACACAATCTGCTAAAAATTGATTCAAGTCCTTATGACGCAAATTAGCTATGGAACCGGTTTTTATTCTACTTTGAAAGCTCGATTCTACATTTTCCCATCTAACCCTCTGACCCAATGTTAAGTGAAGTCCTGCCCCAATATGTCTAGTTAAATCAACTTTCTAAAATGTTTAAAATGCCCCAAATTTGTTTCTACTTTTCTACAGGTCCCTACAGATAATTATTTTGCCTTCTACTACGAATTACCCGTTTACATAATCTAATTTGTTTTTCTATTCGTTTCAGCCACACTTCCGCGTCTCTGATTGTAAAATTATCAATAAAATTTTCCGTAGACTAACAATTGATAGTAGAACACCGTCTGTTTGTTTGATGATCTTTTTAACCTTATTTGAAGACATTTGAAAAGACGACATTTTTTTTTCAAGCAAACACATTACTCAAAAATATATAAAAATGCTCACCCTGTCCTCCTCCTCCTGTTCTCTGCTTTGTTAATTTTCCACTATTTGAATGATGCTAGCGGTCGGCTTTTCCCTACGTCCACTTCCCCTTGGAAGATGATCGAGTATTTTCCGTGAAAAAGTTCGTCGATGACCGGCTGGTACGTTTCCGTCACCCGCTGTGGTAGAAATAGCACTTCCGGTCCTAAATCTAGTAGCACGGCTTCCCCAAATTTCGACTTGACCACTTTAGCTGCTTGGATTGCAAATGGTGTCCCGACTGGTAGGTCCTTTAATTTTCTGATAGGTTTGCGGTCTACAATCGAAGACGCAGCATTAATTTTTGATAAATCCATCTATAAAAAAAATTGAGTCGTCTAACTATTTTGAAGCATAACACGAAAAAACAGTTGCACTTAGAGACATAAAAAAGAAAAATATTAAATAAAATAGCACTTACTTTTTTTAAAATTTTCGCTATCTCGTCTCTCTCGAAGCACTATTGTACTGCGGCCGTTGTTCCAGCTTGCAGCGTTGTGCGTTAAGTGTGAAACAATGATGACTATTGCATGCGCTCGCTAAATATAAATACGTGGTTGAGATAACACACGCGTGCATGAGATAATTGTATCGTAAATATGCATATTATATGCATCATATTCTCAGTACCATTTTTATCGAGAAAACAACATTCATTGCGGTTGCAGTATTTTTTATATAATTTCTTAGTAATACATGAATGTATCGTTTGTCCGGCGGAAATTCCAATTACAAGTTGCACATGAGAGTAGAAATTTAGAAATATAGTAAATTCGTGTATGATTATTGTATATTTGCTGCCTAATTTTTTTTCAGTCAAGATTTTGATTGGGGGGTAAACGAATTTATATTTGCTATCTGAGATTTTTGACATCATTCTCTATCAGGTGTTGGTTCATGAAATTGGACATGCCCTCGGCATAGCACATAGTGCTTCTCCGAATGCTATTATGTTTGCCTTCTATCAGCATGAGATTCGTGGTCTAGATGTTGATGATATAAATGCAGTACAATATCTATATGGAAGAAAAAACAAATATGATTCAATCCCAAAGTCTACCACCGGATCAGCAATACCAAAAACAACAACAACTATAAGATCTACAACTCGTAAGCAGTCGATCCTCAAAAATTTGTGTGATATTATTCCAGATTTTATGTTTTTAGCCATTGCTCCAGAGTTTTCAAATTACCGATTATATATTGCACATGATATGTTTATATGGAAACTAGACTTAAACGAAATGATTATCCCATCTCAGCCTGAACTTCTTGTCGATTATGGTCCTACAGAATTACGTCAATACACTTTACAACATATTTTCCAATCAACAAACGGTGACTTGATTACCATTGTGTCTCCAAACAACTATTTCTCAGCATCATTCCCTACCATTAAATTTCTTGATAATTTTTCAATTGATATACCCGATAGGGCTCGAATCAATGCTATTTTTCAATCAAACGCAGGACGGTCCTATACCTTTTATAATAATATGTCATATATAGAATTTTCTAACGATTTTACTGATGTGTTGAACAGAGGACGGATAAGAGACATATTTCCTGGGTTACCTGAAGTTTAGGGAAAAAATTAAAAAACAACCAGAACTGAACCGTGAAATACATAATTTGATTCTTGTCTGTCATGAACCAAATCAGTTGTCGAACAATGATTTGAGTCGATTAGTATCAACATCTAAAGTACTCCCTGATATGTAGTTTTATTGAAATACCTCTGGTTTGCGAAATAATATTGTCGGAATTTCTTGTTGCAAGTTGTTCAAGCGCGGGTATTCAAAACATGGCACACACACACACACCAATCAACCTTATTGTTATATATACTATATGTTTCAATAAAATATCCATTATACTATTTTCATTTGAACGGTATCATCCTGTATAATAATAACAGTACATCGTATACAGGTTATGAGACATTCTGACCGACCGACCGACCGACCAGAGGAGCCCACCACGCTATTTAGGTCACGCCTTGCTATATACGATTTAACGATATACCGTCGGTCCATCGATCCGCTATTTTTCGATGCACCCCTGTATACACGTTGCCCCCCGTAATCCACGCCAACACCAGACAGGTGCGACATCGGCGCCATCTATGCGCGAGATGCCCAACCCATCAATGGCAGCTGTCCAATGACGCATAGATTCCGTTAGGTTTGTACAGCGCCAAACAAATCGGCGCCATCTATGCGCGAGATGCCCAACCCATCAATGACAGGTGTCCAATGACGTATGACAGATGACGTTTTAACGCCATCTATGCGTGAGATGCCCAATGACGCATGACAGGTGTCCAATGACACACAGATTCCGTTTGGTTTGACAGCGCCATCTAGCGGCGGAATCCCCAACTCATGAATTTCGATTACAGATTCCGTCCAACAACCTGTCAATGGCGCGCGACGCCAGCGCCTCTGGTGGCGGATTTTGGAAGTTTTGAGACCGAATCCCCATAAGACATCTACTATTCAGAATTGTTTTACAAGAAACTAAGTGAATACTATGACAGTGTAAATAAGAAAAATTACATGAAAAAGCAGTGTTTATCCAATACATGTGTTAGTTTAAAAAAACTTCTTTGTAATTTGAGATGCCATAGGAGTATAACATGCGCTAACAAATAATGTTTGAAATAATATAACATATAAGATAATTCTATGTAACTTTTATTCCTTTGTCACTACTCGCAATTCTGCATTTGGTTTTTTTTAATGTGTATTTATTGTTTTATATTTCTTTCGAGAGTTTCAGGATAGT